ACCATAGTGGACGACGTCACACATGATTGCCTACATTTAAAGTTCACACCGTTTGCTTGATGGAAATAGGTTAAAGCGCTGCAACTCCCGCAAAATTGTTATATCTAAACCCCGTATCTACTGGCCAATAACTCTATAGCACAGAATGAGGTTACCGATAAAGACAAGGGAGCCCGAAGTAATTATTTCTGGCTTGTAAGCCGTCACTGAACAGCCCTAACCAACCACCGCTGTTCAACCACTGAGGCTCTATACTGCACTCTTTTCTTGAGAAGTCCGACGGCCTTTGTCTTGTCGGCTGCGATCTAGCAATTACCTAGGCGTTGTGCGAATGCCCACAGGGTTTTAGATCGAGTAATTCAAATATATGTATAAAATGTCAAAAGTGTGATGTACACTGAGACCTCCATTTGGCTTGAAGGATATGCTGCAAAGACTGTAGTATAGTAGGCCCATTCTACGGCGGAAAGATTGTCGAAAAATCGGAAGTATTCCGAACAAAGTGGGCGTCTATGTGTCTTGAGGTAAAACATGTCTACCAACCGACTAATTAATAGCCTACTTTTGACCGCTTTTACTTTTTAAGCCTGACTACAATTTGCCGAATTTGTGGACGCAGAAACGCGACCCGTCCGTCTAAGGACGTGTCTTCTAGGCATCAGTGTGGTAGTCAACCTCAAAAATGGACGTGGGAGTAATCGCTTATCAGCCTCAAGCGCGCACTGACTGCCTAAATCCCCTAGCGACCTCTTACGGCTAATTTGGCGTAGTTGAGAGATAAACACAGCAGCTGTCTGGGGCAACTGTTCATTCGTACGCCTGTTACTCTGGCAGCCTTTTAACGGCTGATCAGTTGGAATCCTAGACTGTCCTCAGTATTACATGCCTGCGCCAGATCTGCATGCTACGCGGAGACAGGGTTCCCTGATTTGCTGCATTAAATGTTCCATTCACTGGGTCTCGTACTCGAAGCCACAGGAATAAGGCAGGGGAAATGACCTAGCGGTTATTGGGTTCTATTCTGGGATCTGCCACTACGACTGACAGGTAGGGAGTGATGTGACTGTATAGCGGTTTGCCCGAAAACGCGTCTGTGCGAGTGGACGTGAAACATTTTAAAGGTTCCTCCGTAGCAT